CACTTTATATGGGACACTGCCACAGCATGGCTTGACAAGCAGTGCTTTGGTGCGCGCCTAGGATCCAAACCCCGGGCTGCACAGCAAAGTGTGCGCACTTAACCGCTACGCCACTGGGCCGGCCCCGCAAACATCATTCTTAATGATGAAATAGTCCCTTTAAAATCAGGAATAAAGCAAGGATACCCAATATCACTGCTTCTATTCAACACTTCATCAGGGGATCTAGCCAGTGCAATAAGATAATAGTATAACATTTAGAAAGGAAGAAACCAAATTGTCATTTTGTAAATGATATGATTGCCTATATAGAAAACCCAAAAGAATCTACAGATAAATTATTAGACTTAGTAAGAGCACAGCAAGGTAGTTGGATATAAAATTAACAAAAACAAATTGCATTTTTGCATGCCAGCAACAGTTATATAATATAATTTTTAAAAGCTATTAAGAGTAGCAACAAAAAATATAAAGTACCTAGGAATAAATCAACAAGATGTGGAAAGACTGCTGCTTCTGGCCATGATGGAGTAGTAGAGACTAGATCTAGCCTCCTGGCTGAAACAACAAAAAAACTGGACAGAATATATGAAACAACCGTTTTCAAGACACTGGGCATCAGGCAACGAAGGAGTAATCTCTGAGAAATCAGAAACAAATGAGATTAATCTTCTGACTGCTCCAGCTTATGTATTGCCTTGCGAGTTTCCAGATGACAGTGAAGAGAACCATTTGGAGCCCAGAGGACTCCCTGAGTTGAGAAGATGAGTTTGGGGAGACCAAAGTAGCCAGAGTTTGTAGGACAGAATATTGGAGAGCAGTGAGCTAGACAGAGAGAAAACTCAGGAGATGTACAGAATGTCCTCCTCAAGTACCCAACAGAATGCTGATTAAAGAAACAAACGTGAGGGGCCAGCCTGGTGGCGTAGCGGTTAAGTTCGCACGTTCCTGCTTCGGCAGCCAGGGGTTCGCCGGTTTGGATCCTGGGCACAGACCTACTCACCGCTCATCAGGCCACAGTGAGGCAGCATACCACATAGAAGAGCTACAACTCTACAACTATGATATACAACTATGTACTGGGGCTGTGGGGAGAGAAAAAAAGAAACAAATGTGAAAGACAAAACTTTCATAAAAGGAAAGATTGATAAATATGACTTCATTAAAATTAACAATGTCTGTTCAACAAAACATACCATAAAGAAAGGGAACAGTCAAGTCACAAACTGGGTGAAGATATTAGCCACATATATTAGCGACATCTAGAATATATAAAGAGTCCCTACAACTCGACGAGAAAAAGACAACGCAGTAGAAATTGGGCAAAAGACATGAACAGGCATTTTGCAAAAGAGAAAACTGGAATGGCCAATAAACACATGAAAGATGCTCAAGTTCACTGGAGGTCTGAAAGTAAAAATTAGGATCACAATGAGAAGCCATTTAAAACTACTAAAGTGTCATAGATTAAGCAGCCTTGAGCATGTAGAACTATAGGAGCTCTGATACCTTGCTGTTGGGAGTGAAGACAGATATAACCACCTCGGAAAATAATTTGAATTTACTCACACCCTGTGCTCCAGCAATTCCATACCTAGGTAAAAGACACCTGCACCAGGAGACATTTAACAAGAACATTCAAAGCAGTATTGTTTATAATTGCAAAAATTATAGGAGGAACAATCCAAATGTGCACGGCAGGAAAACAGGTAAATTCTGATAACTCAAAACAGTGAAAGTAATAGAACATACACATACAAGTATGAATCTTAGAAACAATATTGAGTGAAAAAAAGCAAGTTGTAGAAGACTATATACAATATAATACCGTTGTGTAAAGCTCAAAAACAAGGGAAAATAAACATTATATTGTTGAGGCCAATGTATATATGTGGTTGTGGTGAAACTCCTTTTTAAAAAGAAAGAAGGGGCCAGCCCCATGGCGTAGCGGTTAAGTGCGCGTGCTCCCCTGCTGCCGGCCTGGGTTCGGATCCCAGGCGCGCACCAACGCACCGCTTGTCAGGCCATGTTGTGGCGGTGTCCCATATAAAGTAGAGGAAGATGGGCACGGATGTTAGCCCAGGACCAGGCTTCCTCAGCAAAAAGAGGAGGATTGGCATGGATGTTAGCTCAGGGCTGATCTTCCTCACACATACAAAAGTAAATAAAAAAAAAATAAAAAGAAAGAAAAGGAATGAAGAAATGATAATTATAACAATCAACGGATTAGTTACGTGGGGTAGAGTTACCTCTGTGGAGAAGGATCCAGGAGGGACACAAAGGGAGCTTGAATGTTTTCAAAAGTAATGTTTTGGTTCTTAAATTAGGTGGTAGGTGGTTCATTTTATTATTAAGCCTTCCTGTACTTTATATATATGTTGCATGTGTGGGAGATCAAGATTTGGCCATCCTAAGATATATCTCTTTACCTTGATTGTTTTCTCTGAGGGACATTTGACCTCCCCCACTAACTGCCTAGAGAATTTGACATGGTGGCTCCTTCCTGGAACAGATCTTCTATCATGATGGCTGTAAAGATAATATAGGATAGAGGTTACAATAGAAAAGGCACCAACAAGCCCATCTTATCAAAAGTTGTCTCTCTGGCCACATTCTCTGGATGGCCCTGCCAGGAGTTGCCAGACAATCATTTACATTTATAAGGGAAATCTCCATTTGTAAAGGTATCTCCCTCTCTGTTTTGGGAAGAGAGGGGGATGGCCTCATTTCTAGAGGCTTATCAATGTAGAAGGTGAGGCCTTAAATCTACATAATAACCTTACTCTTGTTTACTGTGCTTTAGTGGTAATCTATAACTGACTCCCCCCACCCCCGAAATCCTCCTTTGTCGTTGGCTGAACATGGTATTTAAGACAAAAATTTCTGCTATTGTGTTAAAAAACGCAGCGTCCCTGCTTTCTCCCATATATACATGTTATTAAACTTGATATTATTTTCTCCTGCTAATCTGTCTTGTTAATTATGTGGCCAGCCATAAGAACCTTAAAGAAAAGGGCAGAGGGAGATTCTCCCTCTTCCCCCGACACATGTATCAAATAATACCCATACAAAATTTATAAAAATTTGGGCGCAAAATGGGATTTTAAAATAATGTCTTTCTTTATGCAAAATATTCTCAATACAACATTAAACAATAAGTTTAGTATTATTGTTTACTTAACAAGTAAAGAATTTAGCTCTTATCTCCCTGTCTACAAAGCCAGCAAATACTGGATTATGTTCTACTGTTCCAATGACTATAATAATAGCAGAGGCCAAGGAAACATCTTTTGTATGCGAGTTGTCATGGAATCACATTTGTCGTCGTAAAGAAATAAATAATTTATATTCTGGACTATCCACCAGAAGAAAAAATACAGAGACAATATACACATACATAAAATCAAGAACATTTTTCTATACCAGCACTAATCACGAAGAAAATACCATCAAAACATTCATGACAGCCATAACAACCATTAGTGATTTTATTGAAGACGCATCCACAGGATTCTGACCAGTGAAATGGTGATTACAACATCCACCTTGAGACAGCCACATCGATGTCACTACAGGGTCCCCAGGTCCCCTCCTGAGGCTCCACAGTAGTGTGCTTTCATCCCACCCGACACTTCCTGGCAAATGGAGCCAGGCCTCAGACTGTCCTCAGCCACCACTCTCAGGCAACTGATGACAGACAAGTGGCCTCCACTTCCATTATCCCAGCAGCTCTCTAATGCATTTGAACCACAAAATGGGCCCTCGCTTCTTTCCTATCCCAGCTCCATCTTCATAAACCATAACAGACGGACAGGAGTCCCCAAGGGTACAAAATATTTCTTTCCAGATAATTTCAAAGGAAAGGGGGATAAAAAGATGCATATGTGCTAATGGAGCTTCTATGGTTGAAACAATTTATCTACAAATGTGCTTTGACTAGCCACACACTGATCATTTCGCTATGCTGCAGTAATAGAAATTTATGATTCTGTGTGAAGGCAGTGAGAAGTGGTGTGTCTCTCTGAAGTTGGAATCAGGGCTCTTTCCACTATACTAAGCTGGCGCTTTGGCCCATAATTATAATAAACTGTACTTTTTAGAACTACCTCAGATTCAGTGGAATTTACAACTTTCTGAAATACTGTCTCTCACAGACTCTGCTGGTCTCTAAGACTTGAATGGGGGGGAATATCAAAATTAAAGTGACGATTCAACTAAGGAAGTTGACTAGTGGGAGAAAAATAGGACATTTTTATGATCCCCAAACTAAAAAAGAAGCTTATCAGGGAGAAGATGAGGAGTGGCAACAGCACAGAATCATGCCTCAGGCCTCACCTGTGCTCGGCATTGTACTAGTGACCTCAGCACACACTCAGGTGGGCTCCAGAGGGGTCAAGGCACTTGAAATTTCATTTGAAATTTACCCAGGGCCAGTTTTTAAGAGTATCTGGACCTCTGTAAGACAGAATTTTCTAAGGAAGCAAGAGGGTTAGGTTTAACTCCTGCGAGGTCCAGCCAACAGTAGAACTACTTCCTGTTCAGAGTAGCCCTGGGAGCAGAAATCAATTGTTTTTTTTGTCTTCCTTTTGAGCTCCGCTGATTACTGCTGGTTTGGGGTAAAAAGGATATGCAGGAGCATATGTTCTCCAGTACGCCTTACCCTCATCTTTAAGCCAAGAAAAACATCTCTAACAATGCTGAGGTAGCTTTTAAGTGCTTCTAAGACAGCTGTAACAGTTTTGGGCAAGGGACAGAAAGCCTCAGAGAAACCATAAAACAAAAACCATACGGCACCATAATATGGTTTTGTTCTGGGAATTTTGTCCTTAGACAAAACCACACAGCCATGAATACATAAACACCCACTTTCTGAGCCATTGAACAAAGACTGAGTTCTGCTGTAGAGCAGTAAGCCTCAGCCTGGGGGGAAAGGGGGAAAAGCAGCCAAGCCAACCACAGCAAGTGCTGCACCTCGGAGCGACAGTGCACATCCTGGAGAGGATCCTCAGTGGAAAACAGATCTCGTTTGTAACGGCTTCATCTGAAAAGCTATGCCGCAAATGCTCTGCAGACAACATCAGGCCATACTGCCTAAATGGTTAGAACAGCCAGTGGTATCTACACTTTGGGCAGTAAGGTCTCTAAAGACTTCAAGAGAAGGACTAGGATCAAGGCTCTGAGACAAAGAGTCTCTGTAGACATTTGACCTGGGGCTGCCATCTCTTATGATTATTTCCTGTGTGGCTGTGAAAGTTAATGGGATAAAGCCTTCGCTATCAGCACAGAGAAGGATCCAGTGGGAGTCTGCAAAGTAAAAAAACACATAGGCGATTGAGGATATCTTATCTTATTCTATAAAGAAAAATATGATAAATATGATTTTTTTGAGGGTAAGAATGCAGTACTTGATAATACTGAACCTGATCATCACAAGACTTTACAGAGAATGGGGAGATGGAAGGACTGAATATTACTTAGGGTCAGGTTATATGGCAGGAAGGGGACGCTGATGACTTAGGCACAGCTAAGGGACATACATTTTCACCCAGGCTAAGAATTTATCACTCACGGCTATACATATGGGCTTGTGTCTGCATGTGTGCACACATGTATGCAGGGTTGTGTGTGGAGTGTCCCTATCTTATCTACATGCTGTTAAGCAGTTTCTCCAGAAACTATGTGATGTTAGGACAGCTACTCTATGGAGGAACCTTCTTTATTCTTTAGAACCATACCAACCTCTAGACACCCAAGGAGGCTGAGCTGACCAGAGCTAGACTGGAATGGTCCAGATAATCCTGAATGGTTTGTTCCAGGGTAACCTAGGGCCACTAGTGTAGCACATGCTTACACCTTCTCTGGTTCTTGCTTTTTTTGTGTGAGGAAGATCAGTCCTGAGCTAACACCCGATGCCAATCCTCCTCTTTTTGCTGAGGAAGACTGGCCCTGGGCTAACATCTGTGCCCATCTTCCTCCACTTTATAGGGGACGCCGCCACAGCATGGCCTGACAAGCGGTGCCTTGGTGCGCGCCCGGGATCCGAACCCAGGCCGCCAGCAGCGGGGCGCACACACTTAACCACTACGCCACGGGGCTGGCCCTGTCTGGTTCTTTCAAGTCTACTGTGTCTCACCTTTTGATTTCACTACTGAAAATCTACACTTTCCAAAAACAACATGTAAATTATACAGAGAGGTTTTTATTAGTGTTACTTATGATGGTGAAAAATTGGAAACCACCTAAGTGTCAAAGGAAATACAGCAAAGTAAAATATGGTACACCCAGAATGGAATATTAACCTCACCCAGTAAAAACGACAATTATGAAATACCATAAATGCATGTGTCAAAACGAAAAATGCTGATACTACAATGTTAAGGGGGCAAAAATGAAACAAAATCTAATGTTCAATGTAGTGGCTACCGTGGAAAGGAGGCGGCATAAGGAAACAACCACGCTCCGCATCTGATAGAACATGGGCATGACTCAGTCCCATGTCATCATGTCTGCTGCATATTAAAATGACAACTCCTTCAAGAAATACTCTGCAATGCTGCTATGATCTTTATGTTTATGCAACAGGTATATATGAGGTTTTTATGTCATTTCCTTGCAGTTGTTAATATATTGCTTCGTAATTCTTTTTTTAGTTTGTTCGTGTGTATATTTAGGTGTTAATATATTGCTTCGTAATTCTTTTTTTAGTTTGTTCGTGTGTATATTTAGGTTTTTCAGTGAGGCTATAAGTTCCTTAAGGGCAGAACTGATATTCTCCATGTGTTTTGGCACCTATAAAAGGCCTGGGCATACAGTAGGCAATTAATAATACTTGTTAACTATCTAATGAATCACTAAATTGTTGGTAGACCTCACTTTCATTACCAATGAAAGTTACACAATAGATGGTAGAGGGAGGGGGTACCGGGTAGGGTCAATTTCTGAATTTTACCTACCATGCAGCATTTCAATAAGAGAGAGGCCAAAAGTCTGCTGAACCGTGCTGAGCCTTAGTTTGCCGTTGCAGAGGAGCACAGCTCTTTTTTCGACAACAGGACCTACATAATAAAATTTCTTCAAATACAAAAGTAAAAGTTGTTAAACTGATTGAAGAAGCAATGGAGTTAACATTTCTTAAGAATAGAATGTGTAAATAGTTTTTTAAAATCCTTATCTATTACCACTATCACCTAGACTTTAGTTTTAAATAAGGAGCTTCTTGCTGCATTTTTTAACACAACTAAAGGATGAGAACAAAACAGCCCCCTAATTTACTTTTCCTTTTGCTCTGCTCTTTCCCCAGGGTCGTGTCTTTCTCACTAGGAAATGGCTTTCCGAGGAAACGACTAATAACACTATAGGACGATGGATGGCAGCCTGAGAGACACAATCCGATGGTGAGGAACAATTGCTTGACTGTTTTAGATACAACTGTGAAACGTCACACTTTCTTTACTGGGGGAAAAAATGCCAAGAAAGACTGCCCTAAGTGGTGGAGTAGCAGAGGAACTGCATAAGGAAAATAAACAAACTGTGGTCAAAATTCACTTAGCTTAGAAAAAGTACAAATGAAAATGATTTTTAAATTTTAAAAAGTCACATTAAGGGGCCAGCCCCGTGGTGTAGTAAAGTTTGGCGAGTTCTGCTTCAGTAGCCCCAGTTCGTGAGTTTGGACTCCAGGCACAGACCTACACCATTTGTCAGCCACACTGGGGCAGTGACCCACGTATAAAGTAGAGGAAGACTGGCACAGATGTTAGCTCAGGGCTAATCTTCCTCAGCAAAAAAAAAAAAAAAAGTCATATTAAAAATTAACTCATCTTTAAAAATGGTTTCAAATATCCTGAAGGAAATATAAAACAATTATAGCTCTAATTTAAGACACATGAAGAGTCCAAAGGGGGCTGGCCCGCTGGCGCAGCAGTTAAGTGCGTGCCCTCTCCTTCAGCGGCCCGGGGTTCGCAGGTTCGGATCCCGGCCGTGCACTGATGCACTGCTTGTCAAGCCATGCTGTGTCAGGGTCCCATATAAAGTAGAGGAAGATGGGCATGGATGTTAGCCCAGGGCTAGTCTTCCTTAGCAAAAAAAAAAGAGGAGGATTGGCATCAGATGTTAGCTTAGGGCTGATCTTCCTCACACACACACAAAAAAGAGTCCAAAGGTACAATCATAGAGCGAAGAATAAAAAAGAACTACTAATTATATACTGTTCGAAACAATATCTTCATACAAGAATTTAAAAAATAGTTTTATAACTTATAAGTAAGTTAGGTGTCCAACTCATTTTATCGTTAAAATTATCACTGCTCATTTTCTGACTCCTGACAAACAATTTTAATGATGAAAGATAAATAGTACTCCATTTGTGGCAGGATGAACAACTCAAAGATATGTCTACTAATAACATTTTAAAAGTTGTGACGTGAATAAACTGTAAGGGCCATAAGCAACTATAGTCGTGTACTGCATAATGACGTTTCAGTCAACCACGGACAGCCTATACGACGGTGGTCTCATAAGATTAGTACCATATAGCCTAGGTGTGTAACAGGCTATACCATCTAGGTTTGTGTAAGTACCACAGGGATGGAAGAAAATTTCCTCTACACTTCTAGGTTCTTCTGACTGGTTTAAGAATTAAATTGACATGAGACACATTAATAGGAGAAAAACAAAAGTTTAATAACGTGTATACATGGGAGAAACCAGGAAAACAGAGTAACTTACCAAAATGGCCGAAGCCCTCACCTTAAATTCCATCCTCAGCTAAAGACAAAAGATGTTGTGGGTGGGGAGAGTCAGGGACATCAAAGAGAAGGCAGGCAATTCACAGGTGGGTGAAAAGGAGCAAACATTTGGAAAACAAGTGTTTGGCTGCACAGAAACAGAAGAACACAGAGGGAGCCCAACAAACAGGCTTTCTAGGTTCCTCCCTTGTCCACCACCTAGTTCGTGTTACACTAAGGTTAAGCTTTCTTCCCGAGACTGGTTTTTTTAATCTGAATTCTTTTAGGTAGCTAAGGGGAGGTAACAAGAAAAACTTTCTGAGTCCTTTGTTTCTTAAAAATAATCAGCCTAAAATAATCCTCATGTTACAGAGACACATTTTGGGCAGGCAAATTTTGTTCCCCTTCAGCACACTCTATGATGTTTGCATAATGATGCATTCCTCATAACGTATCCTTGTTGTTAAGTGACTTGTTAAGCGACGCATGACTGGAATCATTTAGCTCTTATAAAATGGGGCTTCTGAAATAATTCTGAAATTATTTCCCATATAATTTCTTTCTTTTGAATATTTTGCTTTTTTTCCTTTAGTTTTCTCATTACAAAAGGTATTGTGGGAGATAAGATTTGGCCACCCTGAAATATATCTCTTTACCTTGACTGTTTTCTCTGACGGACATTTGACCTCCCCCACTAACTGCCTAAAGAATTTGACATAGAAGATCTGTTCCAGGAAGGAGTTACTATCATTTTTAATAATTTATTTATGTTTTCCCCCAAAGCCCCAGTAGATAGTTGTATGTCATAGCTGCACATCCTTCTAGTTGCTGTATGTGGGACGCGGCCTCAGCATGGCAGGAGAAGCGGTGTGTTGGTGCACACCCGGGATCCGAACCCAGGCCGCCAGCAGTGGAGCACGCGCACCCAACTGCTCAGCCACAGGCCGGCCCAAGGAGTTACTATCTGATGGCTGTAATATAATGTAAAATAGATGTTACAATAGGAAAGGCACCAATAAGCCCATCTTATCAAAAATTCTGTCTCTCTGGCCACATTCTCTAAATGGCCCTGCATTTAGGGCAACTCCTGCAAGGAGTTGCCAGACAAACATTTACATTTATAAGGGAAATCTCCATTTGTAAAGGTATCTCCCTCTCTGTATTGGGAAGAGGGGGGATGACCTCATTTCTAGAAACTTACCAACGAGGAAGGTGAGGCCTTAAATCTGCATAATAACCTTACTCTTGTTTACTGTGTTTTAGTGGTAATCTCCTGTAACTGACTCCCCCCACCCCTAACATCCTCCTTTGTCTTTAGCTGAAGACGGTATTTAAGACAAGAATTTCTGCTATTGTATTGAGAAACTCAGTCTCCCTGGTTTCTCCCATGTATACATGTTATTAAACTTGGTATTATTTTCTCCTGCTAACTTGTCTTGTTAATTATTTGACCAGCCATAAGAACCTTAAGGGAAAGGGCAGAGGGAGATTCTCCCTCTTTCCCCACAGTATATATGTTCAATATAAAAAAGTAAAACAGAAATTTATAATGCAGAAAGTAAGTCCCCAAAATCCTACCCACCACAGGTAATTACTTATAACAGCTTGGTTGGATTAGCTCATTATAAACTGAGAAACAGAGGAATTGAAAACGCAAAAAAACAATTTCTTTTTACTTAAAAAAATACAGAATCTCACATTTATAAATGTTTAAAAATAAAAATATATTATTGTTTGATAAAATAAGCTATTTTAAGAAAAACAAAATCAAACAATTAGATATTGTATCTTTTAGACTGACAAAAGTTTTAGTAAATGCACAGAAGAAATGGAAGTATTTACAACAAACTATATCTGTAGTTTTCTCTAAGGGTTGGATTATGGAGAGTTTTTACTTTCAACATTGAATATTCGTATGTTGGTTAAATATTTTTCTTCAATGAGCATATATTACTTTTGTAATTAGGAAAAAAAAGTACTGTACAGATGAAAAAGAGCTCTGTGTGGTGATATGGAGAGTTCTCAAGGATATATTATTAAATGGAAAAAGAAAGATTCACAACACTGTATATAGTACCTTTTGTGTAACAAAAGGGAAAATAAAAATATATAGTAAGATCTGCTAGTATGTGCATAAAGAAATAAAAGTAAAAATGGTTACCTATAGAAAGTGAGGGAGAACAGGCTGAGCAGGGATGGGGTGAGAGTAAGACTTTTCAGTATATACCTTTCTATTAAAACACTGTTTTGCTTTTTAAAACAAGTAAATGAATTACCTACTTAAAAAGAGAAATAAAAAGGGAAAAAAGAAAAAAATTATTTAAAAAGTCATGGAAGGAAAAACATCCAAACATTTCACATTTATAAATACTATATAGGGGCCGGCCCCGTGGCTTAGCGGTTAGGTGCGCGCCCTCCGCTGCTGGCGGCCCGGGTTCGCGTCCCGGGCGCGCAACTACGCACCGCTTCTCCAGCCATGCTGAGGCCGCGTCCCACATACAGCAACTAGAAGGATGTGCAACTATGACATACAACTATCTACTGGGGCTTTGGGGAAAAAGAAAGAAATAAATAAAATTATAAATACTATAATTTTTAAAAATCAAACATCTATTTACTGAAAACGATTTATAGAAAACTTCATGTAATTAAATAAAACTATTTAAATATCTGTTTTGGCTGAAGACAATGTGGCAAAAATCCTGTTAAAAAATATTGTTTCAGTTAGCATTGGTACATGATATAACTAAGATCCCTAATGTGGTTGTGAAATAAATTTGAAAAAATTTTTTTTTAAATCAATGATTTAGGGGCCGGCCCCACGGCGTAGCAGTTAACTGCACACGCTCCGCTGCTGGTGGCCCGGGTTCGGATCCCGGGCGTGCACTGACACACTGCTTGTCAGGTCATGCTGTGGTGGCGTCCCATATAAAGTGGAGGAAGATCGGCACGGATGTTAGCTCAGGGCCAGTCTTCCCTCAGCAGAAAGAGGAGGATTGGCATGGGTGTTAGCTCAGGGCTGATCTTCTTCTCGTGCGCACACGCGCGTGCGCACACACACACTAAATAAATATTTATTAATAAATAAATAAATAAATAAATGATTTAACTGATTTTGGAGACAATTTGGGGAATCTGAATAAGGACTAGGTATTAGATGATATTAAGTAATTACTGTCACATATTATCAAGTAGTATCAAGTAATAGTATTGTGGTAATTAAAGAAAATGTGCTTACATTTTAGAACGGCATCAAAATATTTATGAATGAAATACCATGACATCTCTACTTGAAATATTTTAGTAAACAAAAAAAAGTGAAGCAATTATGGCAAAATGTTAACAATCATTAAATCCAGGTGATAGTTATAAATAGGGATTCATTATGTAGTCTTTCTATATGTTTACGATTTTTCACAATAAAAAATGTATTCTATTATGTGTTTGAAATTTTTTATAATAAAAAAATTAATTTAGTTTTAAACTATTCTTTGGTTCTTTTAAAAACTTATATCCTTGAATTGGTCAAAGAGTAGTAGTTGTAAGAAAAAACTAATTAAAATACCTCTTCTGGACTATTCTAAATTAAATAGTAATTTACATATTATTTATCACTGATTTCAATACCAATTTTCTGCAAATATCTTTTAAAACGAACATATATAAGTCTGCAGTAATCAAATCAGTGTGGTATTGGTAAAGTGTTAGATAAAGAGATCAGAATTACAGTAGTTGCAGCATGGAGAATCAAGAATTAGATCCCACTATACATAAATTTATATATGACAAATGTGGCAGATCAAATTCAGTGGGATAAAGGTGGATTTTTAATAATGTTGCTAGCACAACTGGTTATTGGCCAGAAAATAAAAGTGGACTGTACCCAAAAATTTAATTAAAAATTAAAAATTGAAAGGTTAAAACTAATACAGTAAAATAATGCAAGAAAATCTAGACTATTACATGTATATTAACTTCTTACATATATAATATATAAATTATATATATAAAATAATATATAAGTTTCTTTAATATACAAAAACCTTGGGTGGGCCCCGTGGCTTAGCGGTTAAGTGCGCACGCTCCGCTACTGGCGGCCCGGGTTCGGATCCCGGGCGCGCACCGACGCACCGCTTCTCCGGCCATGCTGGGGCCGCATCCCACATACAGCAACTAGAAGGATGTGCAGCTATGACATACAACTATCCACTGGGGCTTTGGGGGAAAAATAAATAAAATTATAAGAAATATATATATATATATATACACAAAAACCTCTTATAAACTGATAAACTCAATAGGAAAAAATAAGCAATAGGCAATTCACATTCAATTGGCAAAAAACATGAAGACATATTCAAATTCACTAATAGTAAAAGAAATATAAATTAATAAAACTTAAATACCACTTCACACCTGGCTTGGTGAGGATGTGAGGAAAAGGACCGTAGTAGGCATGTAATGATGCATTGTTTTGTTTTTTTTTTTTTGGTGAGGAAGATTGGCCCTGAGCTAATATCTGCCAATCCTCCTCTTTTTGCTGAGGAAGACTGGCCCTGGGCTAACATCCGTGCCCATCTTCCTCCACTTTATATGGGACGCCTGCCACAGCATGGCCTGACAAGTGGTGCGTCGGTGTGTGCCCAGGATCTGAACCGGCAAACCCTGGGCCGCTGCAGTGGAGCACGCACATTTAACTGCTTGCGTCACTGGGCCAGCCCCGATGATGCATTGTTAAGTAAAAAAATCTTTGAAAGGCAATCTGGCAACTCTATTAAAAGTAGAAACGTACACATATATTCTTCAAATTTGCACTTCCACTTCTGGGAACCAACCCAACAGAAATCAAAGTACGAGTATAAACAGATACATACAAGAATACTACTGCAGCACTATTTGGAGTGGCTAAGAACTGAAAACAAAGTGAACGTCCATAACAAGGGAACAGATGAAAAAACAGCATGCTCTCAGCATGAAGTAAAGAGTGCACCATATGACCCCATTTTTGTAAAACAAGGACAAACCACCACCTCCACCATCAACCCGTCCTCTCGTCCTCCCCACTCACCCTCCCCCCACACCTATATACCTATGTGTACAAAGATCTGTGTACTATGTAAGTACAAAGTAAAATATGGAAGGATCCACATTAAGCTGTTAATTATAGTGAGTTATGGGGAGGAGGGGCAGAACCAACCAAGTTCAACGAGGAAAAATGTGTTCATGATAAAAACAGATATGATATAATCCCATTTATGTAATATTATATGTTTGTATATGCATGCATAAATAGATGCATTAAAAATTTGTAATGGGGGCCGGCCTGGTAGCATAGCGGTGAAGTGTGCGCGTTCCACTGCGGCAGCCTGGGGTGCGGATCCCGGGCGTGCACCAATGCACTGCTTGTCAGGCCATGCTCTGGCGGTGTCCCACATAAAGTGGAAGAAGATGGGCACGGATGTTAGCCCAGGGCCAATTTTCCTCAGCAAAAAGAGAACTGGCGACAGATGTTAGCTCAGGGGTAATCTTCCTCACAAACACACAAAGAATTTGTAATGAATATAACCTTTCTTATAAATGGAATAGTGTCTGCATTGCATAAGGAAAAAGTTTTCACAATGAATAGCACAATAAAAAAATTGTTTTTCCTAAATATAAATTGCCAGAATGAGTGCAATCATTCATGTTTTCGCACCATGCACACGATAAAATCAGCGTATACTGGTGTGTGCGCCCATTTGGTTGGTAGGCAACCAACCTGGAAAGGTATAACAACTTGCCTATAACATGCCCAGTTCAGTGAAGTTTAATTAGAACACCATCTTCCTCGTTAACAAATTTTTCTTGCAGTACCCCGACTCAAGGCAGGAGCTTTTATGTATAGTGGTAGCTCCTCAAAGATGTTACCTGGTAAACGATGTGAACATAAGGCAGATCCTGAGACAGTGGATACACTGGAGAGGATTTCTTTCCATTATGTAGAAAGTCTGTGAGTTCAGAAAGACATCGCTGCACCTCAGTCAGGTTCCTAGATAAAATTTCCAGTTCCTTCAAGAGCTGATAAATTTCCTTTTCCTCTTGTAAGTTCTTTCCTGGAGGCAAATTAGGAGGTTCTGGGGTGCTGGTGTGGTCTGGTGTGCTGCTGGGTCTGGGCGGTGTTACTGACCAGTTAATAGGCTCAGCCCCTAGAGTTTCTAGGGCTATGGAGCCATCACAGATCCTGGATGGGGGACTTTTGATTTCTTTAATAAGGGTTGTTCCAGGCCTTCCACTTTGACTACTGCCATTAGCTGTTAACAAGAGCCCTCTGTTTTGGTGACCAAAATCTGGGGAAAGACTTTCAATGAGCTTTTTTGTACCTGCTTTATTTAACAGAGCACTGAAAGCAGAGCAGCCACTCTGGTCGTCACTCAATGCTGTTGGGAACTCTTCCTCCACCACTACTTCTCTAACAAGCAAACGAATGATGTACTCAGCAGACGCTGAAGAAGGGAGAAACGCCGAATCAGTGGATTTCTGTTTTCCTACCAAAATTAATAATAATTTATCTGTCAGGAAACATATGCCTTTTGGTCTTTCACTACTCTCTAACTGAATTTGCTGGATGTTCGGCATAAATGATGGAATGACAGAATAGATAAAAATTATATTACAAGTATTGGAAGCCACTGCCACTACCTGTGCCTTAAGATTAAATGCTATTAGATCAGGAACCAGAATGCCTGGAATACTGACTTTTCTGGTCTGGGTAACATCTTTCCCAAAGCTCACCAGGACCAAATGTGAAGAATCCAGGCCAGTTCCTGTCAAGTAGTCCTTTTTTCTTAGACAAATAAGAGAACTACCCTCAGACTTAGATCTATTGAAACGTATATGAGTTAGATCCAGAGGATCTGAAGAGGAAGAAAATGCAGAAACTGATGTTTCAGAATTTGTTTCAGAAGTGAATGCCTCCTTATCCACAGAGGGCGCTTCATTATTAAGTGGTAAAGTATACAGACAAGTGTCTTCACCACTAGGCAGCACATCGTAAAAGGTTTCAGAGGCATTTAAGCCACAAATCTTGTCTAATGGAAGTTCAGTGGCTATAGCAACCTGTGAGTCCACAGTGGCTCCAATGGAGCGCACATAGCTGTCCACATCACACACTGGGTGGAAGGAGCACCTGTGAAGAGTCTTCTGAGCACTGTCCCAAATATAAGAAAGCAGGCTGCTGCCTACTGCCACCACCAGCCTCTGGCCATCCTGGGTCCAACACGCACAGTGAATGAGGCCTTGGGTGCTGAGGTCCGCTTTTACCTGGGAACTGTCACAGTGAACATTATGGAAGATGGAGATGTCCTGTGCAGTCAGCACGGTCAGCACAGCACTTGTTGGGTGCCACACACAGCCCTGGGGAAGGACAGGGTGTGATTCTCTAACCTCACAGGTCTGAGACATCAGCCATTTGCTTGTCTCCGTAGTGCTGGGACACAGCTGCCACACAATGACATGCTTCTTGTGCTGGACAGCGAGCAGAGCAGGCGTGTCAGCTGTACCAGGTGGGGCCCAGGACACGCCATACACATGTTCAAACTGTCCAATGACCTTTGAGTCCCCAAACTTGGCCTCTCCACTGTGAAGCTGTAAATCAGTCAAGACTACCTGATTCCCATCAGTCCAGGCAAGGCCGTGAACCGGGTGTACTGCTTGATGCAATGCATTCAGCCCGGTCCTGAGAAGCTGTCCTTTTCCCAACTCCATCCTTTCTGATTAAGGTTTTCTGAAATAATTAAGAAGGAAAGTTATACCATGGGAATATAATTAGACAAACCCAGACTATAGGACATTTTATAAGACAATTGGCTTAGACCTTTCACAGGTCAATACTGTGAAGGGCTAAAAGGACAGGAGGCATGTGTCAGATTAAAAGAGACTACTGAGCCATAACAAGCAAATGCCATGTATAAACTCTGATTGGATCCTGAATTGAGGAAATAAAATTGTCTATAAAAAAATAAGTATTCTTAGAACTGGGAAATCTGAATCTGAAATGGAGAGTAAAAGATATGAGGCTATTAATTTTCTTAAATGGGAACATGTATTGTGGTTATATAGGAGAATGTCTTTATTGTTCAAATACACATGTTGAAGTATTTGGGGTTAAGTGTCATGATACCTCCAACTTGCTTTCAAATGGTTTAGCAAAAAAAAAAAAACCCACAAAATTTTATATAGATAGGCAGAGAGGTAAAACAAATGTAACAAAATGTTAATAATTGTTGAATCTAGATTGAGGCTGTGTCACTATTCACGGTACTTTCAACTTTTAAGGTAGGAAATTTTCAAATGAAAAAGTTGAGAAAAATCTCCTTTGCTATCTAGTTTCTCTTCTCCTTTCACTACCAAATCAATGAATAACTGATATTACATCCCTGACTGTATTAGCACTGATTTCCTCAACTCCCTTCAAAATGGCTTTTATCTCTCTACTGAAATGACACTCAAAAGTCACTATTGCTATTCTACCTCATCATATTCAAATAGCACTTAATAATTTTCAGAACATTTTCATATTCCCTATTGCATTTGCTCTTTGCAACAATCCTTCACAATAACGTAAAGTAGGTTAGGCAAGTATTATCTTCAATTTTTTCATTCTTAAGTTTTTTTCCAGACATTTAAATTACTAAAAAAGTACACGCTTACTGCGGTGAAATTCAAACAACCAGAAGTGTCTAAAGTACAACTAAATGTTTCCTCCTACCCCCCCGCCCAATCTCAAATCCTTGATAAAGTCACTGTTAACAATTTGGTGTGTAGGGGCCGCGCTGGTGGCACAAGCAGTTAGGTGCACGCACTCTGCTGCAGCGGCCCGGGGTTCACTGGTTTGGATCCCAGGCGCGACCGACGCACTGCTTGTTGGGCCATGCAGTGGCGGCATCCCATATAAAGTAGAGGAAGATGGGCATGGATGTTAGCCCAGGGCCAGTCTTCCTCAGCAAAAAAAGAGGAGGATTGGCAGATGATAGCTCAGGGCGGATCTTCCTCACACACACACACAAAAAAACAATTTGGTGTGTAGACTTTGAAACTATTAAAGAAACCTATAAAAAAAAACCTACAAAAAAACACAGAGAATTTTATATGTGCTAAGTTTTTTCTTTTAAACAAAAAATGGGGTATAAGTCAGAGTTCCTGGGTCCTAATAGCAGAAACCACTCTGGCTAACTTAAGCAAAAAAGAAGGCTCAAGAACCAGGCTCAGAAAACAAGCAGGAACCAAGTGAGGCTAGGCAGAATAAACCACTGCTGCCACCCTCTCCGGACACATCAGCGGCTCAGAATCTAACTTCACTTCACTGCCTCTTCAATGGATGGCAATTGCCTAAGATTCAGAATGATGGGGGAAGGTGGGGAGAAGCCATCCACTGGCTAAGCTGAGCTCACATACTCTTGCTCTAGCAGCCAGGAGGATGGGGAGAGGGAGGGTTTCCTCACAAAAGATTCCATAACAGTGGCCGGGGCTCTGCCTCCCACCAAGACTCACACAAAGGGAGATTCCTCCCAAATTAGGAAGGGGTTTTCAAAAAATGACCAACAATTCCAACAGGGATTATATGTTACATATTACTCACTAATTTATTTTAAATCATGGGCACCTTTCCAAGTCAGTAATATAGATCTGTCTCAGTCTTTTAAACAGCTGCATCAGTAGCTGCAAAGTATTCCACAGAGTGTATGTACCATAATGTATTCAGATTCCCCCATAGGTGGGAATTCTGCCTGTTTCTGATTTTTATCTAAATGTGGATAGAGCCAAGAAGTTTGGTACTCAGTTCTCATCACTTTTCTCTTTTTCTTCCTTCTAACATCACCCACTTTCATGTTTTCAATTATCATCTCCTATGTTTATTACTCTCAGATCTGCATTTCTTCTCCTGGCTTCTTTGCTGAGCTACAATGCTATTCAAATATACGTTAGGCTTTACGTTATGGCTAATATTAGCCCTGCCCACATTCATTTCAAACTTGACATGTATAAAAGAAAAAAAAAGTTTTTTGCTCTCAACGTCAGCTCCTCAATTTATGTCAATGCTAACACCATTCTTATTCACTCAGGCTAGAAACTAAGGACTCAGTTTCACCTCTCTCCCTCCTGCCTTCTCAGTCACCAAGTCTTATTAATTCTTAGAACTGTTTCTGAATCCAGTCCTTCTTGTCACTCCCACTAGGACTATCCTGAATCAGATCACTATTACCCTAAACCTAGATGACTGCAATAGTCTCCTCCTAATTGGTCTCCCTACCTCTAATCTGTCCAGCTTTCTCCAGCCCATCTTGTACAAAACCAACCTTAAAATGCCCAAGTATATCATTTATCAGCTTAAAAATTGTCAGATGCTACCTACTGCCTATAGCTGCCTCGTTCAATACAGTAGCTGGTAGCCATATGCGCTATGTTAATTTAATTAAAATTTAAAAAATCCAGTTCCTCAGTGGTCAATAGTTACATGTGGCTAGTGGCTATTATACTGCACAGAGCAGAAGAGATCATTTCCATCATCGAAGAAAGTTCTGCTGGACAGTTCTACTGGCCTATAGGATAAAGTCTGAATTCCTCAGTTTGGCATTCAAACTCCTTCCCAATCTGGACCTACCTATCTCTCCAGACTCATTTCTATTTATTAATCTTCATTGTTACAATGCCTGGCCCATTCAAAACACTTAATAACTGACAGATAAATTGAAGGCCCAGTTTAAATACCATCTCCTCTGAGAGGCATTCCTTAATCATCCAGCCAAAAGTGATACTTTCCTCCTATGAACTCCCACAGCCCTGACAGTCTAAACCATCATGTGACATCTTTGGTTTATTACCTGCACTCACCAGTTCCTTTTTCATGTACTATATCTCATTTCCACAAACTATCATACAAAATCCTTGAGAGCAGAAACTAGACTTAACTTCTCTGCCTGTCAGTTCCTAGCACACTTTACAAGTGCCAGCAAGTATTTTCAGATGGATTGCTCTGCATCCACTACATCATATAAGGAGTTTGCAGTTGGGTCACAGTATTGCCAGGGGTTGTGCTGATTACATTTTCGTTACTTTAGGCTCTTATAATACTGAGTCAGTAAAGCCCCTTTGGACTATATTTGGACATACTTTCTAAGGCTGTTAAATAATCCAGCCTCTTAAGAAACAACTGAAACAATTGGGAATATTATACTAAGAGATATTTCCCTTCCCAACTGATCCATATAGTCCAAATGCAGCTGTATACTAGAATTTCTCATTTCCTATATGATTTTTTTTTTTTTTTTAAAGGTTAAGCAGGGGCCGGCCCCGTGGCTTAGTGGTTAAGTGCGCGTGCTCCGCTACTGGCGGCCGGGTTTCGGATCCCGGGCGCACACCGACGCACCGCTTCTCCGGCCATGCTGAGGCCACGTCCCACATACAGCAACTAGAAGGATGTGCAACTATGACCTACAACTATCTACTGGGGCTTTGGGGAAAAAAAAGGAGGAGGAATGGCAATAGATGTTAGCTCAGAGCCGGTCTTCCTCAGCAAAAAGAGGAGGATTAGCATGGATGTTAGCTCAGGGCTGATCTTCCTCACACACACACACACACACATAAGACTTAAAAAGGTTAAGCAACCATACATATCAGCACAAGTTTCCAGGTCTTAAAGAACTCACACTATCATTTAAATCATGAGGACAAATAATGTTGATAAATCATATATCTATATGATATAATTTTAACATTTCATAAAACTAATGGAGGATTTAGCAATAATCAAAAGTTTTCTTCCTAGGGTAGTTCAAGGAAAAAAACAACATCTTTATTTCTGGTGATTATTATAATGTAGATTCTATGTCAGTGCCACAGTATCAAAACCTTTCCTTGAATCATCTTATGTACAGAACTTGGTTTACGGTTGCCTTAGTGAGCTTCACGCTGCGATGCACCAAAAGTTGGCTCTGCTTCAATATTCAGCCAAAATCTACTATTTAGCTTCAATTTCAGCCTTTGGAAAACTCAATAGCCCAATGCCTAACGCTCTGTCATTTCTAGCATCCCTGACCGTGCGTGTCCACACATACTTAAGATACATAAGGTCAGTAATGAGAATAAGGCAGTAACGGGAACAAGTTGGATATTCTAACTTATCCAACTTACCATCTGGATAAGTTAGAGTGTCTGAATATTCACTTTTAAAGATTTTATTTATTTATTTTTCCCCCCCAAAGCCCCAGTAGATTGTTGTATGTCATGGCTGCACATCCTTCTAGTTGCTGTATGTGGGATGCGGCCTCAGTATGGCGGGAGAAGCGGTGCGTCGGTGCGCGCCGGGGATGCGAACCCCGGGCCGCCAGCAGCAGAGCACGCGCACTTAACCGCTAAGCCACAGGGCCGGCCCTGAATATTCACTTTTAATACAGACCAACATGATACGCATCTTTTATTTAACGAGGAAAAAATTGCCTCAGGTACATTCTATTTCAAAATTCTATCAGTGAGTTGATAAGTAAATGTATAATAATGGCTGTAAGAATAAAATGTTGCAATTATAAATGACAGTGAAAGATTAATTTTAGCATGAAAACAATTAAGAACTTTCACACAGATGACTTATTGAGAAACAGACTAGCTGATATTAACAAAGAGTATATTGGCTAGAGAATTTAAAGAACACCACTATATTCTTTTTGACCAAGAGATGTTTATGAAATTTAAATAGGGCAGGCCTAGTGGTTAAGTTCGCGTGC